GCAAAGCTCACTGCTCATCACTGAGCCAGATGTATGCAAGGCAGTGATGTGACAGAGTTTTGTGATACAGGCATGCATCCTTTATTTTAGGAAACCTTTGTGTGTCCTAACCAACAGAAACAAGACTGGGAGTAAATTGCAAAAGAAAGAGGAAGCAGGGGATAACTTGCCGTTTGACTTAATGAAGCCTGCTACTGTATTTGGCCTTGTGGCGGCCTCTTAGTGCTCTTATTTGCCTTATTAATATGCATGCTAATGTACCTATTTTATGGCTCAACAGCTCTGATTCACTTTAAAATCAATTATCCATCTGGTACACCCATACCTCGCTCAGACTCAAATGTGTATTAATTTCAGCAAACATACATCGGCACAACACAATAAAGATAAATGCCTCGATTAGAGGCAGTAAACAAAGGAGCTGGGGATGGCTTTAATGAGATTTGGCACAAAAGGAGCTTACACTTTCTTAAATAATGAGCCTTGGGTCCCTTTTTCCAAATGCAAATTATATAAAGGAATGTTTCACAGTCCTTGTTCCAATTTCATTTAGATAAGAGTGTCTCCAAACAAGTTGGCTGTTAACATTTTCACATGAGCACACCACTGCCTTTCTGCCTGGCATCTCCCAAGAGTGCTCTCCTCATCGCAAGCACTTTAGTCAGTAATAAGTTCTAAAAAGTTCACTGTGCTTGTTAAATACTTCGACCAGACGAGATGGAACAGGAAACGACTTTGATAGAGTTGACAGGCTCACTTGGCCAAGCTTATCAACACTTTTACCACCAACAATTGTGTAATCACTCTCACAGAAAGGTCAAGCCTGCAATAACCCTGACAGTTTAAGTAACTTTATGCAGACAAATGATGAGATAAATGTAGGGACAGAAAGGCAGACACATAGTGTGTGCAGGTAGATTACTACCTTTAGAACTCTCCTGTTAATAGCTGCAACCCATAAATACAACTAGCAACTTTCAAAACTGCTTTCTGTCGTTACAAAGTTATTGTCTACATCTCTTTTCTATTTTTTTGTGCTTCCTAAAGTTGAACTTTCTGCTTCTTTCTTGAAGCAGAACATACATGCTGCAAGGGGTTTTCTCTTATAAGGCTGGTGCTGTCACAGCTGAAAAGTAAAGGATCTTTGTGTGTGCGCAAAACAAGACTGGCTCTAAATTTGCACGTGTGTGTGTGTGTATAGGGGGCACGAAAAATGTAAGATTCATACAGATTCACAAACATGCACGTGCACAATGACCGGATCAGAGCAGCTGTGAATGGATGCATTTTTACCATGAAATTGTAATCTGCTGTGTTATTATGTCAATCAAATCCAGGTATTTGATTAAAAAAAACCCTGAAAAAAAGTGTAGTTTAGCTTGTGTGTAAAGAATCTATCTCTGGTAAAACAAATCTTCTGCCACTTTTCCTGACGTAGCAGTATTGCTTACTCATTAGTGACCCCAAATGTTTAGGAGGAGAACTGCAGCGGTGCCTGTATAAACAGCAACAAACACCCTTAAAGTGATAGTTTGCAGCAGCAGGTGAATGTCAGTAAGCGTCTGTATTATTCCACTTTGAATGCATCTATAGGTTCATAAAACAGACAATGCAATTTGCTGCTCAATGCCAAGTTACTGAAAAAGTGTTAAACACTGTGTATTTTGAGTAAAGTTTTATGAATATATATATTAATCTTAATACGAGACCAGTTTACGGTAGTTTTCAGATAGGTAGCAAATACTTAGCTACAGAAAATAACATAAATCTTCTTCTCCATATCGAATAGTACACATGGACTAAAGCAGAAAAATATATGTTGACTGAAATTTTTTCTACACCTAGTATTGAGTTTAGCAGATATTTATAATAACATACAAAGTACAACCCCCTGAAATTGACTGTCTGAGAGAAGTTTGTGAGTTTGGGGGAAAATTTAAAGTTAAACAGAACTCATCTTTGTTATAATCAGGAACATATAAATATTCGTCTTAATATAAATATGTTGTGTTAATATTTATTTAGAAAAACTAAAGCAGCAGAAACAGCCTCTCTCATCATGAGAGAAACTCAACTGGCTGCTCGCTCCCTCGGTGGTGCACGTCTCTGTCTGTCTGTCTCTCGAACCTGGAGTTTGGTCTCATGTGCAAGTTGCACAAGTTTGTACGATGATGGCGTTCCCAGCACATTAACATTTAATGAAAGTTAGATTTTACTTTGTAGATACAAAAGTCTCGGGGAGCGGTGTATCAGTTCAGGTATCTCCCCGATTGCGGTGAACTGGTCACGTGTGCACACATACGTAGACATTTGCGGGTGTCCTCTTTTTATTGCTGCAGTTGAGTTTTCACCTGCAGTTTCTCTCTGTTGCTCACACCTGGGCTCACCGTGAACTAGAGTTGCATTTGGGCCTAATAAATCCAGCTCGGAGTGGACCAAGCCCGTAGTTTTTTTCTTTTTTCGGAGCCCTACCCAGACCCATTACATTAGCGGTAATAAGAGGGCCGAACCCGAAAAAAAAAAAAAAAAAAAAAAAAAAACTTTTTTTTTTAATTAAGCTTTTACTGATTTTGTAAGCAAATCAGTTTGACATGATAGTTTTAAAAACACTATGAAAGGAAGATATAAGATTTATGTTTATTAACAAGTCACCAAATGGATATTAACATGCAAAACAAATAGCCTAAATATTAAAATTTATTAGAAATTAATTAATATTATCAATTATTTGGAAAAATTGGCAAAATTATTTGGAAAAATATAGAACAAGGCTATTTTAATTGAACACGCTGCTCGCTTCAGCTTTTGTAGATGCTGCTACTTCCTTCACCGCAGATGAGAACAGGTGCAGAGATGCGCACGGCCGGTGAGCAGCTGATCCATCCATCCATCCATCCATCCATCCATCCATCCATCCATCCATC